ATATGTACACCCAGAGATTTGACTGAGCTAACTTGTTTAATTATGTCACCACCTATGATTAGTTTAGGGGAAGTATCGTAGGTACCTATCCTTTGCCGCGATCCAATTAACATGAATTCAGTTTTAGATGAATTTAGAGTCAATTTGTTTGCAGTGAGCCATGTGTTAACATTGGATAGGTCGTGATTCATAACATCATTGATCATTTCTATGTTGTTACTGGCAAAGGTCAGGTGAGTATCGTCGGCATACATACGTGCAACTGAATTAGACAGGCAATTAGGAAGATCATTTATGTATAGAACAAAAAGCAAAGGTCCTAGAATTGTTCCTTGCGGAATTCCACAAGTGAGAACTTGACTAATTGAGAGCGAACCATTTACAAAACATTGTTGATGGCGATTATCTAGGTATGAGCTAAACCATTCATAAGCGATACCGCGGATACCATATTCGAATAATTTAGACATAAGAATTGTATGGTCAACGGTATCAAAAGCCTTTTTTAGGTCGAGAAAAACAACTGCATTTATACTGCCTTTATCAATGTTGAAGGCCCAATTGTTTGTGGCCTCCAACAAGGCAGTAACAGTTGAATGGAGCGAACGAAAGCCAGATTGCTGGCTGGAAATCAAATTGTTTTCAGTGAGATAACCGTAAACCTGGTCGTAAATGATACGCTCAAACACCTTAGCTACTATAGGGACGATAGAAATTGGGCGATAATTGTTTAAGTCGGAGTGATCTACAGAACGTAGCTATTTATGCAACTCAAATGGTTGAAAGTTGCACCAACATTCACTACACTACTTATTATTCTCTCTTCTTGGAACAAACCTTGAATCCAGTTGGACACCAGTCTACAAACTGAATGGTTCTCTTGGTCTTAATTGTCGCAATGGCAGCATTCACATCTTTGGGCACCACATCACCACGGAATAGCAAACAGCACGCCATGTATTTGCCGTGACGTGGGTCACATTTTACCATCTGATTGGCTGGTTCAAAGCACATGCTTGTAATCTCTGAAACTGTCAGCTGTTCATGATAGGCTTTCTCTGCAGAAATCACTGGAGCATAGGTGGCCAGAGGGAAGTGAATACGTGGGTATGGCACCAAGTTGGTCTAAATCAAACAAGAAAGAGATTAAACATGTAAGACACGTGTGACAGGGGGAATACACATTTTATATCACCACCTTTCCGTCAGGACAAGGAAAGCGAAGATTCACCTATGTATTACCTGAAACTCTGTCAAGTCAACATTCAAGGCACCATCAAAACGGAGCGATGCAGTGATGGACGACACAATCTGACCAATCAGTCTGTTCAGGTTGGTGTAAGTGGGTCTCTCAATGTCCAAGTTACGACGACAGATGTCATAGATGGCCTCATTATCCACCATGAAGGCACAGTCAGAGTGCTCCAAGGTTGTGTGAGTTGTTAGGATGGAGTTGTAAGGCTCCACAACTGCGGTGGAGACCTGCGGGGCTGGATAAATAGAAAATTCCAGCTTGGATTTCTTGCCGTAGTCCACAGACAGACGCTCCATGAGCAATGATGTGAATCCAGAGCCAGTGCCACCACCAAAGGAATGGAAGATAAGAAAACCTTGCAATCCAGTGCACTGATCAGCCTTGACAAAAAAAAGATACAAAATGTTCGCTCATCAAAAACTATCTATGCCATGAGGAAGCTGCATAATGTCGTGATTGCATAAACTTGACGGTTTTTATCATTATCAGTAATATATATATTATCATTATTCAATACAGAAGTAGACCAATCATTATCTTTCCCCTAAAATTCCTGTAACTGCAGATGAAAGCTACTTCTCAGTATCTTTTTGCATAAATCGAAAATAAATGATTCGATTTTGGCTCATGAGCACAAAGCCTGCTCATTTCTTTTTTGCACAGTGGGTGTATCCTATCGTTTGGACGAGCACTAAATATGCCATAACTGAGATTTTTGCTTTTAACATTAACACATTTGAGCATAGACTACCTCTATAACTCAAAATAAGTCATATACAGGCGCCCTCACCAACTTTCTCAGCTTGTCCAAAACAAGATCAATCATTTCTTTGCCAACTGTGTAGTGCCCGCGAGCGTAGTTATTAGCGGCATCCTCTTTGCCAGTGATCAACTGCTCTGGGTGAAACAGCTGTCGGTAGGTGCCAGTGCGTACTTCATCTAAATAGGAATAATAATGTTCTATGTTAAATCGAATTTATTATTATGTATTTTCAGTACTCGTGTATTTTACATCATGCCTTACAAAGTTCGAATCACTCAGGTGGATTATTTAGATCTAATCAAATACGATTCAAAATATTTCATTCAAATCTAGCTTATCAATAAACTGTAATGCATTGTTTTGGTTGAGCTAGATAATTAATCATTAATGAGATTGTAAGAAAAAACTCAAAGGCGGAAACCGGCAACGCCAAACTTTGACGATTTTCATTCGTTCTTCAAAACTCTAATTCAAAGAATGATAATAAAGAAAAATTCCAAGCGCCTCTCACCGACAACAGTTGGTTCCAAATCAACGAAGACGGCGCGAGGAACGTGTTTTCCTGCTCCAGTCTCACTGAAGAATGTGTTAAAGGAATCATCTCCTCCACCGACTGTCTTATCGCTGGGCATCTGACCATCAGGCTGAATTCCATGCTCCAAGCAGTATAGCTCCCAACAAGCGTTACCAATCTGAACTCCGGCTTGGCCGACGTGGACTGAAATACACTCACGCTGAAATGGAAGGAAAAACAGTAGCGCTGAAATTTCACAATTCGCAGAATTTGAATCAAAATATGGAAATGATCCCGAAAAAATTTCTTTGGAATAACAGAGTGATTGATCAAAAGCTTTTTCCTCAAATAATGTCAAATTTAAACTCGCTACAAAAGATCAGATTTAAAAAATAGAATGTTACCATTTTTAAATAACGTTACTTTGAGATTTTTTCCAAAAAAGTAGCGACGGAGAAATTGGGTGATTTTCCTAGCTCCGAAATAGCAGCAACGTCTTTCGAAGACGGGAGTGGTTTGAATATAAACAATGAAGCCAGGCTATTGTATTCCTTTGCATGGCAGGTGACGCGAAAACTAAGTGGTTTTAGCTTATTTGGTGAAGAAAAATTAACATAAAATCAAAAAGATTGAGAAGATAAATCAGCTGGAGACTAATGTCGGCCTAAATAATATTTGATTTACGTTATTTAATTGGCTCAGAGTGAAAATTTTCATGTTAATTGTGGTCCCCAAAGTAAGCCACCGAATGATGCTGTTTCCATTAAATGAAAATGAGATTTTCCATTCATGAAAATTTCATTAAGCGCCGGTTTTGTTTTAGCAACCTGAAAGTAAACGATCTGAGCATTTTCAGATCGAAACCTTTGAGGGTAAAAAGAATATAGATTGCTCTTGCATACAGCTAGAAAAATATATTTTGAAAGGCACAAGGAGATTTTTGCTCGGTAGAATAAATATATTTGCTTGCGCATTTTTTATTTTTATTATTATTTTTCTTATAGATGAATGATGAATGCAACTAGACCTCCTTTATTTGCCATTGTTGGGGAGTTCCAACATGAAATTGAGAGTGTACTTCATGATATGTTGATTTGTCGTAGTTTATTTGAAGTTGAGCGCAAGGTACCTGGGCCACCACAGATATGAATTCAAATCCTATTTCTCAGCCTAGGTTTACAGGAAAACGTTACAGTGTTATTCAGATACACCCTAAAACAAAATTAGAATGATTAGAAAATTCTAAAAATGCAGCTTCACGTGTTAAACTTGAATAGCTTTTCGTTTACTATTGTTGGCAATTGAAAGCGTGTCATGTTGAAATATATATTTAAAAGATTAACCGTGCTGTTTTACTAACAATTGTCTAAATAAATGCTTTTTATAGGAGTGTTAAAGCCAAATCTCAACGTGCAATCAGACTCCATTCGTGGGGAAGTATTTATATAATATTTTTATGATCTTCGCACCCTCTTATGTTAATTATTCGCACAAAAACCGCTTTATATGTTGCAATTCGCATGATCTGTTATAGTTTCCTTGATAATGGAGTCATGACTACTCCGATACGTTGGATTTTATGGTTGGTTTTTACAGTTTTATTGTCCAAAGACATGTTAAAATTATCATGAGCAGGGCTAAGGGTGGAGGGGAGCTGAAGGTGGGCGTGTCCTGTCCTCTTTTCTTCTTTTTGAATCGAAACCAAGTGTCCTACAAATAAAAATCAGCGTTCTGCGAGAATAAGGGTGCATTTCCTTTTCTAATGAAATTTTACAGCCCGTCTTAGTTTCTAGATACGCCACTGATAACAATGTGTAAAAATTCCGAAAAAAAAGGACAAAATAACCGCGCGACTTTCACAATCAGGACAAGCTTTCGCTTAGACCGGCTTAAGATATTTTGGGGCAACACACCCGTTTTTATTCGCGAGCACATAAATTATATTTTCTTCCACAGCAAATGACGTCTGAATAATTATTTTCCTCTTCGTGTCTCTTTTATTCAGGGGCTACATAGAATAATGGCTTTAGTCTTGGGCTCTTGCCTGATACTTTAAATCGGTTCGCCACAATACAAGTTAGTTGAACCGTAGTAATTTGCAAAATAAGCTTCCTGTGACAGTGAGTGGACGATGGTCAAGGAAAGTCAATCAGGCATCTATACAACTGCAAGCCACTTGCAGTATAGTATTATAGACCCAACTGAAGAGGCGTAGTGTTTAATACATCATTCTCTTTAAGTCCTATAAACATAATCTAACATAAGAAGAAACGACAAAAGCGCAATAGGTGGTAATTTATTAACATAACACACCTTTGCTAGCAACATATGTATATACTTTTCAAACTCCAAGACTTTCCTTAGATCGTCTTCGCAACTGTCATGCTAAATTCAAAATCGCTTCTGTCCAATATATAATGAATGTAACAAGTTGTTTCAATAAACGAACTTTCAAGAATAAATACAATCCGTTATTAAAAGGGATTAAATATCTCGCGGAGGTCCTGGGAAATGGGAGTTGACTTCGATGTGAAGGCGAAGGAAATCCACATCCGAGTTTTCGTTCAAAACAATGAGTCTCGTTAAACAAGAAGATGCCGATCCAGGTAATTTTGCTTCCACAGTGCCTGTCCCCCCCCCCTCCCTCACCTAAGCCTTCAGATGAAGATTTCTAATACTCGTCGTCTTCCCCTTCCCCTTCGTCATCAGCTGAATCTACTCCAACCTCTTCATAATCCTTCTCCAATGCAGCCAAATCTTCTCGAGCCTCAGAGAACTCTCCTTCCTCCATACCCTCACCTACATACCAGTGGACAAACGCACGCTTGGCGTACATCAGATCAAACTTGTGATCCAGACGGGCCCAGGCCTCTGCAATAGCTGTGGTGTTACTCAACATGCACACAGCGCGTTGAACTCGGGCCAGATCTCCTCCAGGAACAGCAGTGGGGGGCTGGTAATTGATTCCAACCTGAAAATTAAGTGAAATAAAATAGCAATTAATAATTTAAATAATGAAAACCCGAGATCCTGCGTCTCAGTTGTCACAAGCCATAAGAGTTTTCCACGCCGAGGGAGTTGGGCTAAACTCTAATTCTTTTGATCAATTTTAACGCTAATTCTATTTTTGGTGGCTTTTGAAAATTAGTTTTGAACAATTAACTTGAGAACGACTTAGTTATTCTAGCACTTAACCACAACTTAACCACAGGGTTCTGAATCAAAGGCGTACTTTTTCAGCATCGTGTCGTAGGATCGGATCACGTTGATAGTATTTCTTTCTAGTCCTGATAAGGAAGGAAAACTTACAAAAAAAAGGGGGGAAGTGCTGCTTCTGCTCTCAAATGCAAGGAACGGATCTCTTTTTTAAATACTGAACGTCAAAATTTCAAACTAAGAAAAAATAAGAATTGTACACTCACATAATTTTAATTGAAACAGACTGCTCCATTCCTTAAGAGTCATCTACTCACCTTGAATCCAGTGGGACACCAGTCTACAAACTGAATGGTTCTCTTCGTCTTGATTGTTGCAATGGCTGCATTCACATCCTTGGGCACCACATCACCACGGAATAAAAGACAGCAGGCCATGTATTTGCCGTGACGTGGGTCACATTTCACCATCTGATTGGCTGGCTCAAAGCATGCATTGGTGATTTCAGCAACGCTCAATTGTTCATGATAGGCTTTCTCTGCAGAGATCACTGGAGCATAGGTGGCCAGAGGGAAGTGAATACGTGGGTATGGCACTAAGTTGGTCTGAATAGGACGAGAAAAAATGATGTATGATATCAACTTTGAAAGGAGTCATACACATTGTGTATAAGAAGCAGGAACGTAAGATTCAGGTACAGCTTACCTGAAACTCTGTCAAGTCAACATTCAAGGCACCATCAAAACGGAGCGATGCAGTGATGGACGACACAATCTGACCAATCAGTCTGTTCAGGTTGGTGTAAGTGGGTCTCTCAATGTCCAAGTTACGACGGCAAATATCATAGATGGCCTCATTATCCACCATGAAGGCACAGTCAGAGTGCTCCAAGGTTGTGTGAGTTGTCAGAATGGAGTTGTAAGGCTCCACAACAGCTGTGGCAATCTGTGGTGCTGGGTAAATAGAGAATTCCAGCTTGGATTTCTTGCCATAGTCCACAGACAGCCGCTCCATGAGCAATGAAGTGAATCCAGAGCCAGTGCCACCACCAAAGGAATGGAAGATAAGCAAACCTTGCAAGCCTGTGCACTGATCAGCCTTGATAAAATATGATCAATGTAAAAAATCATCCCAGAAATTATTATGAAATTTTCCGGAAAAATTTCGACTAAGTGTTACTTTGACTCATCATAAATCGGCGTCGCTTACTTAATTGTGATAAAACAGTCTTATTGATATACTTCATGGTTCTGATCCGCTTCAGCCTTTCAACTTAAAAGGTAACACGGAAGTTCGGCATTGATAAAATACGCTATCAGGCAAAACCAAATCGATTAATTGATTATTACCAGTTTTCTTATCTTATCGAGAACTTGATCGATGATGCTTTTCCCAACGGTGTAATGTCCACGAGCATAATTGTTAGCGGCGTCTTCTTTACCAGTCATTAACTGATCAGGGTGGAAAAGCTGTCTGTAGGTACCACAGCGGACTTCATCTGATGAAATTCTAAGTGCAATGTGCTTATTGAAACCAAAAACAGTCAACGGTAATTGTAACGTTCTTGTTGTATGTGGCAGTGATGCCATAAGGATAAATTGGTTAAACGGCCCAACTCAAATGGACAATTAGCGGCTCCTTTTTTGGCTCATTATGTTCATCATTGCCACACAACGAAAGGATGTTAAACTTGTATCTCTTAACATTTATCTGATTGGAACCCACAAGCCTCCTCATGTTCATTAAATGTTTTCTATGCTCTAGTTAACTCACCGACTACAGTTGGTTCCAAATCAACGAAGACGGCGCGAGGAACGTGTTTTCCTGCTCCAGTCTCGCTGAAGAATGTGTTGAAGGAGTCATCTCCTCCACCGACTGTCTTATCGCTGGGCATTTGACCATCAGGCTGAATTCCATGCTCCAAGCAGTACAACTCCCAACAAGCGTTACCAATCTGAACTCCGGCTTGGCCGACGTGAACAGAAATACACTCACGCTGGATGTAGAATCAAAAATTAATACTATAAAAAGGAATCGTTCGGAGGTCCGAACAAAGTTTCAAAGTGAAGGAATTTTACGCGATTTTCGGAAAACCGTGGTAGTCACGCCATAAAGTGTCAGCCAGGATATGCAGCCGTTATCTACTGTCAAATCGCTAACCGGATCGAAAATCCGCCATGCTGGCGGCGTTCTAATATATTTTCGTATTGATCATATTAATAAACGTCCCTTTGCCACCCTTTCCATAGAGAGAAAGCCCATGAGAAAATAGCTGATTCAAACTCTTACCATTTTCACCTAAAATTGTATGAGACAAAAATAATGTGTCTCAAATGAAAAAAATTGATTAATATCCCTATCGACAAGTAGTCAGTAACGGTGTTTCTCGAGCAAGGATCACAGTAGTAGTGTTTTGCCTGTCCCGCTGAATCGTATTTTGCTAAAAAAACCGCGGGAAACTACAGGTTAATGCTGGTGCGTTTCTCCACAAAATGTAAACCCTGGCAGGTTCAAGTTGTGGTTTACCTTACAACAAAATCAAAAATAAGTCTCGTCACCGAGATGAGGCAACGCCATTCGCTAAACGAATAGCAACTTTTGGTAGACAAGTCGGGAGAACTCAAAACAAGGGCTGGCTTAAAAAAGTAGCTCATGGGCAATAATCGTAACGGTGATGATAACATGTACCGTTAAATCAAATGTGGAAATCCAAGCCACGACCTGTAAAATGCCGAGATTATGATTTAGGCGATTTATAAAAATTAAGCGGCAAATGAAATTGGCAAGGTTTATTATGTAAAACTATTGACACCCTGATAGCCTGTATTGTTGAGGCGAGAAAAAAGCAAGAGCGAGATAAAGAATTATGGAAACTGAGGCCTCTGTTATCCGCGCGGCGTGCAAGCCTCTATCCGCTAATCAAGAGCCCAGCACAGTTTTCCATTAAACTGCCGTCAAACTGAAAAAAGGTTTTCTTTTCCTCTTTGTTTACAATTCCAGAGGATTGTGAAAGGAACCGTTCTCGCGCGAGACGACAAGCGTACCCGAGCATATCCCTCACGTTCAGAGCCTGACAGGGATGAAAAACGTCGGCGGGTGCGCCAGAGACCCGCGGTACGAAACGCTCAGACGCGCGCCTAGTAAAGTGACTAAATTTTGCGGAAAATGAATAGCCGATACAAAAGTTTAAAAAATGAGGAAGCCGTTAAAAAGATAAGGTATTAATTCTAATCTTTGAAAAGAAGGAAAGAATTTTAAAAATTTAACTCCCCACAGCACTGAACAATATCATTGGCACGTATGATGCATGATCCTTCGCAGTAGATAGCGCTATTTATACAATAGCGAAAGTCAGACCTGAAAAAAATCAGGCCTGTACGGGATTGGAACCACTGACCTCTGCGAGTCTGATTTTCGCTATTGCATAAATAGCGCTATCTACTGCGAAGGATCGTGCATCATACGTATTTAATACCGCAGTTCAAAATATATGAACTTCATATATTCATTGTATCTAATATCATTGGCCATAACCACTATGGGTCCTGAACTCCGTCAGCATTAATCCTGAAGCAATTCCGGCTTCTGTTTCCATTTTGAGTTCCAACACCGTTGTATTTATTCCAACTTCCCAAAGAATTTTTCTTTTGGATAGCACATTCACGAGAACAGTGGATCTCATGTGGCTTTTAATGAATGGCAGCATTCATAGGAGCTTCTCTCATGCCACATGGAAATCAATACTTTCTAACAAACCCGTGGGACTGTATAACGAATGTTAAGTTCCCGCGAATGCGATATGTAACGTAATTTGTAACTTACACTGTAGCTATGCATGGCGTAACGCGATATTTTGCATCGTTTTCAAGTTGTTCGTGCAACACCGTGAAAGATGGGTGTGCTTTCGTTTCCCCTTGATAAAAAGTTCCATTTTTCTTCGAGATTCACATTTAGTACCAAAGCATGGTATTATTTAGCTTCTATCAATTTGAACGTTAGCTTATTATCTAACATAGAGGTAGATTATAAGCTTACAATGTGCTTCCTTACCGAGTACTGAATGCACTAACACATTCCGGAAAGTTGTTGGGTCTAGAGCAAGCAAATAAACAACATTTCGCAAAATAATGCGGTCAACATATGGACGAATTCAGTTTACAGAAGCTATTTTCAAAAAGCGTCCTTACATTCCAGTTTGAATAGCAAAATACTTTCACGAATACACAGTTTATATGGCGCCGACATTCGTTAATCAAACGATCGAATAGCGTGCCAACGATAACATCAACATACTCACGACACCCATGCGCAGACATTTTTATCCCATACTTGGAGGAGAACAACACCAACACTTATAACAAAAACGTTCGTCTTGAGTTAATACAGGTTTTGTTACGAAATATTTAGTTCATATGGTTATCGTAAAGCTCAAGTAGGGCGCCTTCAATACGAATAAATCAATGTCATATGCTTAAAAGGCTCGTTACCATTACTTCTCCTCTGGTGTTTGAGCTACACTTTCGAGAGAGGATGGGTATAGGTAATAAAGTTAACGGGCAAATGCAATTGGCGAGGGTTATTATGTAAAACTATTCACACCCTGATAGCCTGTATTGTATATTGTTGAGGCGAGAAAAAAGCAAGCAGAGCAAGATAAAGAATTAGGAGAACTGAGACCTCTACTATCCGCGCCGACCGCGCGGCGCGCAAGCCTCTCTCCGCTCACCAAGAGCCTGACTTAGTTTTCCATTGAAACTATCGTAAAATTGAAAAAAGGTTTTCTTTTCCTCTTTTTTGTAATCGTAGGGGATTTTAAAAGAGACCCTTTCGAACGAGACGTCAAGCATACCCGAGCATATCCCTCATTACAGTGCATGTTGCTGGTGAAGATTATGCTGAAACGCTTCCCAGATACTTGATGTAGTAAGAAAATTGAGAGAGAGAGAAGATTTAGCCTGCTTCAGCTACAGTTAATGTGGTTGACGAACGCAAAAGCAAAGGGGCGAAAGTAAACCACGAAGCGGGACTAACAAGAGAGAGGCGAAATGGCTTCCTCCTTACTCATTCCAGTCTATTATCGCTCACCTACTCTTTCACCTATACCCAATGAAATAAATTATGGTACAGGTTAAGGCTGGTTTTCACTTGCGACGGAGTCGTAGTCGGAGTCGTAATCAGAAGCGTGGAGCGATACGATCTAGTGAAAATCAAACCGACGGAGTCGGAAGCAGAACACCGATTCTGCCTATGACTCCGTCGCTTACGATCTAGTGAAAACTGCATTGTCGGAGTCGGAAGCGGAAGCGGAAGAATAAACCAATCACAATCCTCGATTCCATCTTTCCAAAATGCACAAATAGCCGTAACAAATTTAAACGTGTGAGCTTGACGGTAATTAATCGCATCGGTACTCTTCTTAATATCAGATCATTATTTAACTGCGATGAAGAGCTGATTTATTTGACATTCAAGCCTGATTAATCAAACCTTAAGAGACGTTTCGTTAGCTTACCTTACCTTTTACCCTCCGCTTACTGACGACAAATCAGACAACAGTGCGTTCGAATTGGTGACGCAGTTTCTAAAGTACTCCCACTTGAGTTCGGAGTTCCGCAAGGCTCTATTTTAGGTCCGGTTTTGTTTACAATCTATGTTAACGACCTCCTTTCTGTTCCTAAACGTTGTCTATCTGCCTCCTATGTTGATGATTGTAAATTGTATTTGTCCTTTTCACCTGCCGAATTACCCACGTCCATCCTCGCCTTAAACGAAGATCTTACGAGAATATCTCAGTGGTGCTGTAAAAACTCTCTTTTGATTAATCCGGACAAAACTAAGGTTCTAGCTGTTGGATTACCACAACTTTTAAAGAAACTGTCATCATTCAGTATAACACTTTTTGACAAGGAAATAACACCTGTGCCTGTCGTTAAGGACTTGGGTGTTCTTCTCGACACACACCTCAGTTATAACCAACATATCACTGAGATTGCCTCTAAATGCCTTTTTAAATTGTACCAAATTAACAGAATCAAGCACCTCCTGGATAGGAAAACACTTCTGTTAGTAATAAATTCATTTGTCTTTAGTAAACTCCAATATTGTTCAACTGTCTGGAGTAATACCAGCAGCAGCAATATTGACAAGTTACAAAAAGTCCAAAACTTTGCTGGGCGAATTATTCTGGGACTAAGAAAGTATGACCATATTTCGGATGGGTTGCGATCGTTGAAATGGCTTCCTATTAGAGAGAAACTCATTCTAAATGACGCTACTATGATGCACAAATGTATTAACAAGCTTGTTCCAGACTATCTTGCTGATATGTTTAAATCACGTTCTCAAGTCCATAATAGACAAACTCGATCATCTGGTGCTTTGGATATACCTTTATGTCGCCTGTCAACAGGGCAGCGCTCCTTTGCTTTCAGAGGAGCCAAACTCTGGAACTCCTTGAATGATAACATTAAGTCCTTAAAATGCCCCAGGAATTTTAGACGTCATCTTGCAAATGTTTTATTAAGTTGATATATTATATTATTGATATATATTTTGTAATTATAATATTATTGTATTTACATTCTCAATTAATTTATATATTTGAATTTTTTTTTTATTCTATTGAGCTGAAAAGCCCACTTAGGGAGCATCAATAAAGTGTATGTATGTATGTATGTATATAAAAGTACTTTCAGTAAATTTATGCAATATCTATTGTTTCACTGACCCAAAACACGTGGTTGCTAGGAACGGCGCCCTTATAAGACGCACCTTAACTGTAGCCTTGCATTAATTACAACGGTCGCTCTGTCTTTCGTCGAAGCCGTCGCATTTCGATAAAAGACTCTTTCGCCCGATATTTTGAACAGAAACATTTTCTACAGTCTTATCTTGTGATAATCCTGCATCAACATGGTAAGCATAGTTCTCCTTCTTCGCCCAAGAGTCCTGCAATTCTTATTATCGAAGAGAAAGTTGTTCCTTCTCGTCAAGAAATATTGCCTAGATCAGGCAAAATTACCCGCAAGCTACAACGAATAAGCGTTTCGTTTGTTTTATGATTCTATCGCAATCTCAGAAAACGATCTTGGAATTATATCATCGTCTGGTAACATTCGCCGATCGTGTTGCGAACTAACAAAATTTTGTTTCCTTACATTTCAGCGTGAGTGTATTTCAGTCCACGTTGGCCAAGCCGGAGTTCAGATTGGTAACGCTTGTTGGGAGTTGTACTGCTTGGAGCATGGAATTCAGCCTGATGGCCAGATGCCCAGCGATAAGACAATCGGTGGAGGAGATGACTCCTTCAACACATTCTTCAGCGAGACTGGAGCGGGAAAACACGTTCCTCGCGCCGTCTTCGTTGATTTGGAACCAACCGTCGTTGGTAAGAGAACATGGACCCGTCCATTTCTTTATAAGTACACTTCGGTCCTTTCAGACAAGTGCTAGCAGGATTGTAAATTAATTCTTATCAACAGAAGTTTGTCACTAGATTTTAATCCTAAGAATGTTGTAATTCTTCTTTCGTTCCTTGTGTCATGAGAGAGAAGGATAATTTCGTTGTTCCATTGCATTTGTTAATTATTAACTTTCTCGATTGTACTTTGTTCCCGTTGAAATATCAACATTACCGACCGATTCTCGAACATTTGGTTCGACGTGAAACCAAAATTGTAGTTTTTAGCATTTTTCCCTCGAAACCAACTATTTTTGGGAGATTGCTCCTTCGATTGATTGACTTTTGTTGTGTGCCAATTTGCATAGCAACTGCTTTTGGGTTACTGTAAACACAACGTAATTAAATTTCTTAAATTTCCGTAATTACTCACAGACCTGACCTAACTAAAATTGAAACATTTTCGAATTTTGAAACTGGTTTTCCTAACTTGATCGATTTTCACCATTAAGTATTTTTTTGACCCCCAGATGAAGTTCGTACTGGCACCTATAGGCAGTTGTTTCACCCAGAACAGTTGATCACTGGTAAAGAAGATGCAGCTAACAACTATGCTCGTGGGCACTACACTGTTGGTAAAGAAATGATTGATCTTGTTCTGGACAGGATCAGGAAATTGGTTAGTATTGTGCTGGTGATGTATTTATTTTGAGTTGATTTCCCATAGATGATTAACAAAGGACTAACTTCAAATGTTTTGTACATAGGCTGATCAGTGCACAGGCTTGCAAGGTTTTCTTATCTTCCATTCCTTTGGTGGTGGCACTGGCTCTGGATTCACATCATTGCTGATGGAGCGTCTGTCTGTGGACTATGGCAAGAAATCCAAGCTGGAATTCTCTATTTACCCAGCACCACAGATTGCCACAGCTGTTGTGGAGCCTTACAATTCCATTCTGACAACTCACACAACCTTGGAGCACTCTGACTGTGCCTTCATGGTGGATAATGAGGCCATCTATGATATCTGCCGTCGTAACCTGGACATTGAGAGACCCACTTACACCAACCTGAACAGACTGATTGGTCAGATTGTGTCATCCATCACTGCGTCGCTCCGTTTTGATGGTGCTTTGAATGTTGACTTGACAGAATTTCAGGTGAGCTATATTTAAATCTTAACATTCTTGCATGTTACACAACATATGACTCCTATCACTTTTGCTATATTTTTAACATCCTTCTTGTTACTTTTCTCAGACCAACTTGGTGCCATACCCCCGTATTCACTTCCCTCTGGCCACCTATGCTCCAGTGATTTCTGCAGAGAAAGCCTACCATGAACAATTGAGTGTTGCTGAAATCACCAATGCGTGCTTTGAGCCAGCCAATCAGATGGTAAAATGTGACCCACGTCACGGAAAATATATGGCTTGGTGTTTGCTGTACCGTGGTGATGTGGTGCCCAAAGATGTGAATGCAGCCATTGCTACAATCAAGACCAAGAGAACCATTCAGTTTGTAGACTGGTGTCCAACTGGATTCAAGGTTAGTAATAAGGCTAAATATTTTTTCCTTTTTTAGTGAAGCCCTTCTTCTAATGAAGAGAGTGAAAAGCAACTTGTGCATTGGTACTTTAAGGAATCTAAGTTTATTAATTAAGAAATGTATTTGTCTTGTAGGTTGGAATCAACTACCAGCCTCCCACAGTTGTTCCTGGCGGTGACCTGGCCAAAGTTCAACGTGCTGTGTGCATGTTGAGTAACACCACAGCTATTGCTGAGGCCTGGGCCCGTTTGGATCACAAGTTTGATCTGATGTACGCCAAGCGTGCATTTGTCCACTGGTATGTGGGTGAGGGTATGGAGGAAGGAGAGTTCTCTGAGGCTCGAGAAGATTTGGCTGCATTGGAGAAGGATTATGAAGAGGTTGGAGTGGATTCAGTTGATGCTGAAGGCGAGGAAGAAGGAGAGGAATATTAAATGAAACAAAACCATCCTGGAAGAAAATAAAAGCTGTTGTGATCTAAGATTGCATTCTGTGAGACTGTGTCTTAGGATTAAACAATAAATGTTTGTTTCAAGACTGTGATGAAGTGTGATTTTCTGATTTTGTGTTCATTGTGAGGGTAAGGCAAGAAATTGCCTTGGAACAAAAACATCTCTGGTCAAGAATTCAGATTTACTAATTATGACAACGTGAAGTCACAAAACAGGTTGTTTTTCTGAAGATGAATAAAACCCTGTGCCAACAGAAATTATGAACATTCTCACTTTCCATTACAAACTTTGACCAAAATTTACCCCCTTCCCTGCCTTCCTACCCCTCTCCTCCTTGAAATTCCCTACGAAACACCTGTTTGGATGTGTAAAAGAACTTTTTCTCTGGATCCCTCCTGAATTAAAGGGTTGGGAACGAGTTGTTTAATTACTGAGCAGACTTTACTGAGACCCTAGAGAGCAATCCGATTTGAAGATGAGGCTACCCTTAAAAACTAACAATTAATGAAAAAAGCACTTGAAAGTCTACAATAATTTCCAATTAATACATTGCACGATTTTTAACCGAAGAAATGCGCTTGGACAGCTCAGGAGAAAACTTAAGTCATTTTTAGAAACCTAAACGAAAAAATATTAAGTTAACGCATAACACCAATCGATCTGTGGCTCTTAGATAAGAAAAAAAATTATGAAAACTTTCTCCCCCTCCTCAACTGGAACCACGATTAAATGGCGGATAAAATTGAAGAACAGCTCCCCAAAGTATCGGTCGGCCGACTATTCACCGACAAGTTGGCCGACATAATGAAAACAAATTCAGAAACGAGTAAATAGACTGTCATCTTGGTTGTTCAGTTTTACCAATATGAAGAGATCGTTTGAATCATTTTACCCTAACATAAATATTCATGTTCTTTACACTGTCCTCTTTACATTTCCTGTGGGACCT